CAAATCGTGTTTTTTGGCCCGGGCAATCGGGCCGCATCGCCAGGCGGAAAAGCCAAGCCGGATTTCACATCGCCACGATGCTCTCGCCACATACAGCACCCATGCCCAACACAACTATCACGCCCAGAGACACCACAATGGATCACACGCTCGAAGTGGTGCGATGGCGATCGGCGTCCTAGGTTTCGAGAACTAGTGTAGTGCTGTGCTCACACTGCTGGCAGTTGAACGCGGCGGTCAAAAAAATAATGCGCGACAGCAATGCATAGCCAGCCTCATCACACCACAGAGTCCAGCGGCATCGAGCCCAGATGCGGTCGCCCGCTTTGCGTGTGTTGTCTGCTGTGTGGTGTCGCCCGCAGTGCATGTGTTCTCTGCTGCAATCTGATGCGTCCTACCAATAAAACAAAAGTGCGTCTGACCCCTACAGCAGTGTAAAAGCTAGATAAAGCGCGTACAGACACGCAGACACGCAAGATTTTAAAGGAATCAGCGATCCCTTGCAACTCGGGGGGCCGGCAGTCCAGATTAGAAATCTCGCTTCGCTCGAATAGTAGTAGCATATTTGTCGCCTTTGACTTGATTTCGAAACGAAGCGGAGGGAGTTGAGCCTGAAAGAGGAGGCGTGACAAGGTCGGGGCCAAAAAATTAACTTGCACGTGGTTCGCCCGCACAGGGCCCAGTTTTGATTGAAACTGGGAATAACCCTAACCAACCCTATCCCTCACCAACACCCCAAGCCTGCGTGGTGTGCAATGGGTAAGCTTAGGTCGCTGTACCGAGCTACTGGAGCGAGCCTCCTCTGCACCACCCCTCCCTGGTTTGTACACCATGCGCGAGTACATGCTTTGTTGTAACATATTTCTTCTAGCATTTAGTATTGTCTTACATAGTCCTATAGACCCCTTAATTGTTGGGTTTGATACTCTCGCACTAGGTAAGTGCATACAGTTGCCGGTCGCCCCGGTAGTGTAGTGATACACTCAAAACCGCTGGTCGCAAAGGTCGTGACCCCTCTTTATGGGAACAGAATCTTGGATACAAATATTAAGATTTGCTCACAATAAATCTCCGCAAGGAGTACATCAAACCATAGCCGGTGACACCCATGCACGTATCCCATTACGTAGCAGGCGTACAGAGGTCAATTCTTGGGCGCTGTCATTTGCACTCACGGATCTGGTTCGGGTGCAAACGGATTGGGTGTGGGGTGATTCGATGAAGAGATAGAAGCGTCGCACAAGACAGAGCTGTGTTGGCAGGAAGTTCCTCCTCTTTTTTTCTATTTCAAAATAGACTACACAGATATATCTCTGGATAGAAGCACCCCACTACCACCTCACTTGCATCCGAGCGAGAACAGTTAGTGGAGGTGGCAGCATCGAAGGTTTGGCCTCGATGCGTTAACTACGGAGTGAGACATGTGAACGGGGGTCGTCCGCGCTCATGTTAGACGTTTGTGTTCTCTGGTGATGACGCACGCGGAACGAACCAGGGCAGATGCGCATTTTTTTCGCGCGCCTTGGTCGTTTTCGTCGCTGTCGGCGCCCGTGGCGTCGACACAGTGACGCCAGGGTGCGTTTGAGGTCTTCGCGATTGTGCCAAGTGCGGATTTCATGGCGTTATGGACGATTAGGTTGACTGACCGATGGTCATCTCGCCGCACCCAGGCAACATTTGTTAGCCCGCTCCAAGAGCTGTCAACAGGCTCGTTTTGACAGATCTTGGGTCAAGATTTGTATGAAAGGGCAGATCCTGGACTTTGAGTGAGAAATTTTGACCAAGATCTGACGAAAGATTCCGCGCCCATAAATCGTGAAACTGGCAGCTCTTGGCCAAGATTAAGATTTACACCAATTTTTTGGGGTGGTGGATGTGGGGGGGGATACTGTTCTTAGTCCAAAAAAATGTTTGGGCTGCTTAGGCGGAGGAAAATGGCAAATTATCACAGCCCGAATATTTCCAAGAATGCCGGCGGTACTGTTCGAAAATTGGCCCATTTTCTAACAGCGATCGGGTGGGATTATCGCTGTTGGAAATGGGGGGGGGTACCCACTGGTCACACCCCGATCGTGCCAGAACGAGGAACTACACCGTCTGCTGGCCAAACAGAGGCCAGTATCATGAGGCCATGCACAAACCCTCTGCAGGTATCTAAAACTCAGGGCGTTCTGCGTCGTGTTGGCCGCACACGAGCCGAAAACGTCAACCCTGCCACATTGCTCTGCTGACGTTCTTGCCTTTCGGCCGAAAGGAGCCGTTTTTGCGCGTGCTGCATGTGTGACCAGTTGAAAACGCACGCCAGAGCGAGGCCTTCAGCCGTGGACACCCACAAACTGCAGCCAATGGTGTGTGATCATACTCATACCCTCTGCTCGCGTACCAGAAACAGAGCGTATGTATTATCCAGTTTTGATTGCGCACGGCCTGCAAACTTGAACCACAGTATGTTGCGGTGTTGACTGTTTCGACTTTTTCTTGTTCCGCCGCGTGTTTGCTCCGTGTGTTACCCGCGACCAGCCAAAAACGCATGCCAGAGAGAGGCCTTTGGCGATGACATCCATAAACAGCAGCCAGTGGCGTGTGGCCATGCACATACCCTCTGCTCGCGTCCCAGAAACAGAGCGTATTGTCCAGTTCTGATTGCACACGGCCTGCAAACGTGAACCGAGGCGTGGTTCGGTGTTGCCTTTTTTGGAGGTTGCTTTCTTTTTCTGCTGCTTGCTCCGAGTCGAGTGTGGTCAGTGTACAGCGCATGCCATCAAAGAGAGGCCTTTGGCCGACGACATCCACAAACTGCAGCCACTGGCGTGCGATGATACACATGCCCTCTGCAGGCGACCCATAAATAGGGCGCTCGGTGTCTTGTTGGTCGCACACGAACGAGCCGAAACCGTGTACTGAAGCATGTTGTGACTCACAAGAACATGAATCAGCCTCTTTTTTCCCTTCAGAAAGAAATATACCTCGAGGAACCGTAAGACGATCGTTTGGATCTTGATGATTTTTTCCGTGCAGGCCACCCCCCCCTGATCGAGAGAAAAAAAAACATCTCCGAAAAAATCAAGTCGAAAGAAACCACCTGAGTTCGAATCTCCATGGGGGTGAAAATTTTACAAAATTTGCGGGTTAAACCGAAATGTAGCTGCAAAAGCTCTCGTGAGTACTAAACTTAGACGTTAGCACCGTTGACGAGGGAACGGGACCGCTGGGCCCTTCTCGCGATGAAATAGTTCAGCACGCACCGCAGGAGGAAGGTGGGGCACGAATATTAAAAAAAACGAAGCAAAAAAAGCCCTGGTGTTTAACCCCCTCCTGTGTGACCCTGGATGGTTGTAGTTATACGAAAAAATACACTGAAAAATGTAGCACTCCACATACACTGAAAAGGGTATGCACGTATCACCACGAAAATGGAGGGACTGTCGCCATGATTAATGTAGGATGAAAACACACACATAGTACATAGACTTGAGCATAACCATGCTATGTCCTATACAATAAACGCATTGACCAACTTGGATTAGGCACCCAAAATCCGCGTGTGTACGTGTGTCTTTTACTAGGATCGACCGCGCTAACCGGCTCACCAATGAAATAACGTCAGTCTCACTGCGGTTGAAAAACACAAAACACTTGTAAATGTGCATGTGTGTGCTTCATAATTTTGAATCCACGTCCGCTTGAACACCTGCTCGCACCACACACACAGTGGGCGCCACACGCATCATGCCAGCATGCGCAGATCTAGACCGTACGCTCCAAAACAGATCACGGGAAGAGAAGACGGTACACATTTTTCGCGCTGGATGTTGCTGCGCATGAAACTGCTCAACCGAGCTTCCCTCCTGTGTAAGTAGGCACAATGAACCGCTGTCGGTAGCGTGCACATGAAAGCTTTTTCTCAATATGAGGCAATAGTACCCGCCATTGACATGGTAGTAGTGCTACTGTTGCCACTATGTCGAATAGTGGGACTGCCCTGAATAGTGGTATATTCTCTCCTCTTGCCCCTACATGAGAGGCAGGGGACAACAGAGCTTCTTTTACGCAGCACTAGAGACCTCCGGCTCAAATCAGACCATCAACCTCCTCGCCCGCGAGCAATCGACACGCGTGTGGGGTGTGCTGCCTTGCACACCCTGTCTGGGTGCGTGCATCTGCATTCCAGCTCAAAACGTTACGTCTCTCTCGTGAGACATTCACAATGCTCCACTAAAACCCATTTCGGTTGGTGGCAAGATACCTCGTTGCTGTGGAACATGCAGCGTCGAAGTTTTCACCCGATGCAAGCATCTATTTCGGAGATTTTGGTGACTTGTTCTCGGGTCAAGATCCCTGATGGTGACATCGTGCCATCATCGTTGCAAGTAAAACCTTTGGACAAATAGGACTGGTCCCAGGAACGGTGTTGTTGAAGATGAAGGTGAAATCTTCCGCTGCGAAGGATAAAAAATGGTACTCTGGAGGTAGCGATTGACTCCGCCAGGGAATGTGGAACAGCCCAAAAAGCTATTTTCAATTTTTTCAGTAGGCTGCAAAGCCCTTGGCAACTGATTTTGAGCCCGACACACCTAGCAGAGGCGACAGCGCGCGCTTCGACGAAGCAGCATGAATAGCGTTGTGGGTGCATATGTGAGCTTATCTGCAGTTAGTTGCCGGTAGCGAGAGACATGTTTGATTGAAACAAGCAGGCGAGAAAACATCTGCTATCGTTTTTGAGGGTTTCAGTATTGCAGTTCGCCAGACTTGCTCTTCACGGAACACGTCCTCGGGAAATGGAGTCAGTATCCGTGACATTACGCGTGAAAAAAACGTGCCACGCATGCCTGGTGAGCTTCGGGCTTGCGCGATAAGATACCGACGAGTCTCCTGTGTTCCTTCAGGGAGCGTAAAAAAAAAATCCACTTCCGCCGGAGAAAGATATGCCGAAGAACCAGCAACATCCAAGTCTTGCTTACATGCAGAGGTATTCTTACATGGCCCGTACCATGGCTCAGGTATACAAGATGGACGAGGAAGCACCAGCGCGGCTGGTGGAAGTAGCGAACCTTGAAGAGCACGACGATATTGTATCGAGTGTGGCGGCTTGTCGATCGCACGATGGGCTCGTGTTGTCGGGTGGCTACGATCGCAGGTACGGCAAACGTGTGTGACCGTGTTTGTAGGCCAATGCTGGCCTACCGTAGGGGTTTTGGATACTCGTCATACAGGAGATTAATTTATTTATCCTTGATCGTTCGTTCGTGGCTTGGCCGAACAGTGTTAACGTCTGGGACATCGACAGCGACAGGGATACTTCGCTAGATACCTTCACAGGTGGGTCCGTCCGTTGTTGCTACTTTCGAACGCTTAGTACCTTTCCGTCGTGTACTCCGGTGACAAGAGGGAGCAAACATTGCGGAACATAAGCGCCTTACCTGGGGATAGTGTGCGTGTCATGTTTGTTTGTTTTTGGTTGATTTTGTTTGTACCCTCCCCTACGCCAATGGGGTGTCATCGGCGGAAAAACATGATTATGGTTTTCTCCCGGCTCCTCACGTGGGCGTAGGTTGGCTTCGTGGTACATTTAATCTTGGCTGTGCGTATACATCCCCGGCCCTTCCCGGCCTTAACAACAGAGAATTGTAGCGCTTCTAGGCAGGACTTCCGTCTGTCCTCGTTCACGCTGATGGCCAACCTTGAACAGCTGCTCCCCTTGCTTCAAAATGCCGTGTGCTTGAGCGTACGTTGTTCATGTGCGTTCATGGGCGACCCTTCATCAACCAACCAAGAGGAGTGGACGAACTGCCAACCGAACAACTTGAATAGATTCCTGGACCGGTTATTCAAGTAGACTACTTTATCCTGCCAATTTTGCTTCTGACATGAATGCGTATGGGCTATTTTTGTTCGAATCTACTGTGCATGCTCTGATTGCAGGCAAAAAGACGCAGGCCTGCTGCGCTGAACGGAAAATATACAGTACAGAGTGCCTTTCTCTCTCTCTCTCTCTCTCTCTCTCTCTCTCTCTCTCTCTCTCTCTGTCTCTCACCCTCTCTCCTTCTGTCGATCTGTATCTGTATCTGATGGCCTACTGCCGGACTAAAGAAACTTTGGCAGCCAGGCCTTTCTAAATCATGCGGAGGGGCATGATTACTGATTGGCTCCTAAAACCTGTCGACTGGTGGAGGTGGTCTCTACACAACTCTGGCGCCGAGGGATCACGGCTTCACCTGTGTTTTTCTGTTTCCAAAGATGTTATTGGGCCCGTTCCGAGCGTGGAAACATGCGCGCACGTGAGACGGCACGTGAGACTTGGTCTCGATATGTATTGACCGAATACAGCAATCAGAACTATTCAAATACTCGTATCAACTTGAGCCATTTCACTGCGGCCGTAATTCTGATAATGTTGCAGAAAGGTTCGGATGATGAGTTCTGCTCGCACGACGGCCGGCGCTGCCGTGTATTTGTAGTGATTGCTTGTGGAGCAAAACATCACAAAATACGAAGGTCATTAATGTCGACCATCTTGGCTTGGAAGCCCCCCACCTTGGGCTAACATCAACAAAGCGAAGGGTTTTGGGTCCAGTTTTCATGTTTCGCTCTCCTAGAGAGCGCTCTGCCTCTTGTAGGCTCGTTGTATCGACTATGGCCTCGTTTGACTTTGATGATATTCGTCAGAGCTGTTAGCTTTGCCCCCACCGGTCCAGGCTAGGTCGGCCCGTGCCACAAACACCATCCTCAGAGGATGTCCGAGTCGATCCACAGGCCCAGCAACGCCTTTGCCATATCCGAGAAGAAACCTTATTGATCGGGTGTTGTTGTCCGGTTTCGGGGCCTCATTTTGACTCCATGTAGAACCTTGTAGAGCTCTTGAACGGCTGTGTTTTATTTACTCGACTTTAAGGTCCCTTCCAACGGTCTGTTGGCAACTACCCAACACTGACTCAGATAACTCCAAGTGCCTAACCTCGAAATCTAGTTCTCGTGATGCCGCTTTTATCGGAACTCATCATCAATCCATTGTATGTACAGAAGTATCTCAGATCTCGACATGTTTTGTGCTTATAGTTGCTTTCCACAATAAAATTAAGCCCCGCTGTCCAATTTGCACATGGCCAGGACAAGCCTGCCAACGAGGGGGTTGGGGTACACCTCTGCCACGTGCTCCGCGATAGATTTTTCCATTGCGTTTGGACCGAAGCAACCATTATTTGTTCTTGTTGTTCGAACGCACATAAGTCTTGTCTAGATAGCTTATTGTTGATCACTCTCTTTTTGACACACATCATCATCATTTGTCCTTGATCCGTGCACCCGCAGGTGTTGCGTGCGACATCGAACGCTATGTAGGATGCAACAAGAATAGAAGCGCGCGTACTTTTTGCACGCAGCACCAATTTGTTGTCGTTGCGTGCATATGTATGTGAGTCTTGTTCTCGTCTGTACGCTCCCCATCAGATTGCCATGACTTTGTAGCCCTGCTGTCCAATCTACATAGACCTATAGACGGATTTCCTACGGGCTGAGGGCTCACGAGATTGCAGGAAATGCAATCCTGATGCTCTCGTGAGCCCAGAGCCCCTTTTCACGATTTCTCCGCCCGTTGACGTCGCCTCGAAGCGAGACTTGCCCCTACCGTTAGCCCTGTGTTGCGAGGGCTATCCCGGCGTGCCGCGCGCACTCGGGGCGGACTGCGTGCAGCGCTAGCGAGGGCAGAAAGTCGCGTCTCCGACATCTACCATGGGTCCACCAATCACGCCCCGATTTCTTCACAGTGCAGGCAATTCGTACGTTCGGCAAGCGGCTGACGTCGTGCGTGTGCGCTGGTTACACGCTACTTGCCACACACGCCAACCAAGCCACCAAGTCTCCGCATGACACGAGACAAAGTACTCTACTGCTGCAGTAATTCGTCTCCCTTTCGATCCTGGCGAAAAGGGGGGGGCTTGGCGGCCGGTGTCGTTCGCACAGCTGTCTGCAAAGCTACACCCGCCCGAGATAAAAAATAAGCATGAAATACGGTGTTTGTTCCTCCGTTTCATGGAAGCATTTTTTTTTTTTTTTGCAGGAATATCTTCTGGCTACCTAAAACCCTCAGCGAGCGAATAGCAATACTACTGCTGCTGTGGGTTGCCACATTTTCGTAACTCGGCAAGTTGTCTAATTTTCTCTGCTATTGCTTACACACAACGTGCTGCAAGAACTACGTACCAATGATTTGCGCTGCTTTTCCTCGCCTCCCGTCTCAACCCCAGTTCTCACCAACGGCTGTACATCATATCACAGACGAAGACCACACGCCCTAGAAGAAGTGAACTTTATTCAGCTACAAAATGTCGCTGAGGGGGTGGGTGGCACATGGGAGAGGGGGAAGCGAGAGAGGAAAGCTGTTTGCTTGGTGTATCTTTTTAAGTTTAATTATTCGACACTCCCCTCCCCCCCCGTAACCCCTCTTGTCTTACGAATAGTAGAGTATTTAGGGGTCGCTCCTCTGTTTTCTTATTGAGATGTTTCTTCTATTGTGTGGCGCAGCTTGGGCTAATATGTATGTTACTTCACCCTATTTTCCTATTTTTTTAGTGGAGAGTAAGAATTTTTTTCTTGAAATAAGTTTCTTACTCCGAATACTCTGTCCTCCGGCCGTCGAATAACATGAATTTATTCATTGTGCGTCTCTGCTCGTCGAACAACCAAAAAACTTTGTATTCCTCTTCGCAGCATTTCTTCTTCTCATCTCTCATTTCAAAACTCCACCCGCACACACTTGCCATCGCCGTTGAACCTACGAGCGTAGCGGCGACCGCGAAGCGGTACGCCGTGAAGCGCCCTTGTACTTGTACATTCCCGCTTCGAGGCTTTCTTAATAGTCTGGATTTTTTTGCGTTGTTGTGAATTCTGGTGAGACTGTCAGGAACGAACCTCAGAACGATGGCTTCACTCAAAATCTGTTTCCTAAGAATTCGTTTAGTCCGAATGTCCCCACACTACTGTACCGAGAAAAAGCACGGTTGCCCGAAGCAAGCTGCGATACTGATTCGGTACAGCAGGTTGTCTGTGTGCACTGTTCTTAACGGTTGGTCAGAACAACAGGTTGTCGCAACACAATTATGTTTTGGGTGAGGTCTTGACCACGGAATTTCATGCCGGTTGGTTTGTAGAGAAAGTGGAACTGGATATCGAGGTTCAACACGACGTCCTAGAGTGCAGTCAATGGAATAACAGGCCCCGAACAGTTAGCTAGGCGGCCTTATTTTCGATATCGAGGTTATTAGATGTTCTTATGGACTTTGAGTATGCCTTGAGTCATCCACGAGTTGCCGGATCTCCTTGGGCATTTTTTATGAAAGGTTGTAGTGAAAAGCACAGAGGATCACATCGTGGGATATTTTTCCAGGTATTAGGGAAAAATTATGATGGTACAAAAGTCGATGAGACGTTGTTGCAACGCCGCTTTGGAGTCGTCGGGCGTGGCGGTCACTGCTGTTGTGTTGCATGTTTCTGGTGTGTACAAGTAATGAGTTCAGAGTGTGTGTCATGTGCGTTTTCAGTTGCATGCATATTGATCCTCTCGCGCAACCAAAACACAAGACAAAAATATCCGCACGCGACGAAACAGCGGTAGGATCATGGTCCGAGTGCATAATGGCCGCACATGCCACATACATTGGCATCTTGTATTCTGCCCACGGACGGATTGAGAACACGTGATATAGCGTCATCGCCGATATGATCAAATATAGCATTGTTCTCTACGCCGATTTGATCACAAGTGCATTCTCTTCTCCTCGTGAGTCTCTAAACACTGTTTTTATTCCTGGGCGCTGACGCTTCAGCACCGTGCTGCTTTCTCTGCGCTGCTGCTGCTGCTGCTCCTGCTGCTGCTGCCGTCATGAACATTCAACCGTCACGATCTCTTCGAATGCAAGCGTACCACACAGCTTTTTCGTCGTTTGATTTGTTCGGCCAAAGAGGACAGCTGACGAAGGCAATCAACAAAATATTGTCCTTACAGTGAACTATAAGACATGCAGCGAAGTCTTTGCCTGGAAGTCAGGGCATCATAACAGTTAGCCAATAGTTGCTCCAGTACATGAAACACGTGTTGACTTGTTAGAGTAACAGAAACATGTCTTCCTGCCCGAGCAGTTGAATGTTGTGCTGATCAACTTGGAAGTGGGATATGTTCCGGAGTCGATTGCCTATGTTGTGCTCCCATGTACACGCTATGGCCTGAAATTGTGGGGCAAGGGAGATAATGGTCCGTGTAAGTGGATATTAACGCAACATCTCCCGACTTTTTCTCTTTCGGGTGGAAATTATCGGTAATTTTCCGTTGCCCCCCTGTTGAAGAGCTGGTGCTGTAACTATTTTTTAGCACTCGAAGATATTTCCCCCAGGACCAATCTCCCGCAGGGCTTGCAGGTTATTCTCTTTGTGATATGGTGAGGTTTCTGCAGGAGGGCTGTCCTGTTGTCTGGTTAGCCTTTGTTTTTCGAGCACTCCATGTCTCTGTGCAACAGGTCTCACCCGACGACTTTCCCTCGCTGGTATTCAGGGCATAGTGGCTATGTGACCGGAGTGGAGTGGAGTGCTGGACAGGATGATAGTCAAGTCTTTGCATCATCGTCAACCGTGAGTTTCCTGCATTGTAAATGACATCGCCAGCTGGAACGCCAGAAATTCGCCATCAAAGACACGATAAAACGAAACGATGGTTGTACACCAATGATCACCTGTTGTGCCCAAACTGTTTTTCGATACATGAGAATCATCATATTGTTCTTGCACCGGTTGGTGTCGCATGTTGTGTGTGCACGGAACGATACCATCGTACCGATCTACTCTTTTGTGCACCGTAATCACTCGATCCAACACCATAGGCTCGCAGTTTTGCGCCGTAAGGTTTTTAATGACAATCAAGCTGTTTGTTTTTTGGCTTCACACTTTTTTTACGACCCAGGACTGCAGCGTGCGAGTGTGGGATCGCAGGCAACCTCAAGGCTGCTTGGCGTGTCACTGGTTTGGCGTACCTGCACTTTCGATATCATGGGACCACTGCTCCGGAGAGCTTCTCGCTGTAGGTGATTTCGCGTGGATGCTTCTATCCCGGATGCCCAGAGAGTGCCGCAGATAATCGGAAGACGTGTCCTGTTCCCAAGTAGTTGGTGCTGGAACCCTTGTGTAGGCGACATGGTATTCGAGCTTACCTTCGAGTAGAACTTGCCGTGGGACATGTCGTGGTCCGTTAGACTCTCTTGATTTCACTTCAAGTGTTGGGTGAATACTATCAAGCGGGCTTATTTTCTTACCCTTCCCCCCCTCGGCGGTGACATGTGTATTTCATGCGACTGCTGAAGGTTGTGAAGACGGAACTGTGGCTGTCCTGGATAGACGGACACTCTCTTCTCCACTGTTCACAGAGGTGCTGAACGGTATGCCAAGTATTATATGAAATGTCATCACTTTCGCGGTATTCACTCATCTGCCCCGAAGCAAGTGGTTCCTCTAGTGGTTCCTCTAGTCAGCATTGTGCTGTCAGCGTCTATCACGTGGCCGCGTTTACAACCGTTGTGGCCGATTCGAGTGTGGTTGGCTTGGTTTTCCTCCGCGTTAGTGCCCATACAGATCTTGCATCTTTTCCAGCAACTGCACGCATGAGCCGTCTAGTGCGTGATTGTGCATCTGTTCCCCTCATCGACCGCTCTACGTTCTGTACTCTCCGTGTACTAGCAAACGCATACAGGTCGTGTGAATCAAACCGCGTTCGGGCCAGCTCCTTCTGGTGGTGGTTCCGAAGCTTCTGGCCTACTTGCATCTGTGGGAGATGACGGTGTCTTGGCAGTGCAAAGACTCGGGGACAACTCCAACCACAGCCGGTACGATCATTGAAAGTGGCGATGATTTAGTGTGACCTACCTCTATTTATCTTCTTTACGTCAGGGTCATGACCAGTCAGTTCCTCGAGCTGTGGCGCTTCAATTCCGTGTCACGCAGAGGATTGCTGCTCGGCGATGCCTTTCATTGTGCACGCCAATAGGGTTCGTTCAACACTTAGCTCCCTCAGGGGTTTTCACGGATATACGGTTTTAATTCAAAAGTACGAAATGAGCCCACACACTTCACTCACCAATAAGCGAACGCCCAACCTTGTGAGTGACGGGTGCTTTAATTTTCAATATTTGTAGCGCTGGTGCCGAGTCTATTTGCCGATCAACTAGAATGCTCTTTTGTGTGTCTTTTGGTCCATTCTCAGGTCTGCACTGCACACGGACTACGCTCAAGCCCTCAGCTGGAGTGATAAAAATAATTTGGTCAGCGGCGGGTGGGATGCTGCACTCTGGGCGGTGGAGTTAGAGCAGACAAGGGTGAACTTGGGGTGAATGCCTTGAAATGTCTGGGCAAGGTGTAAAGACAAATTATCCCTGAAAAGACTATCTCTCCCTGATGATCCAATCCTACCGGAAGGCTTATCCTTGATGACAGGTGTGTACCGCTGAAACTTTTGACTGGTTGGCGCGTGGCAACCATCAGTTTTAAGTAAAAATCAGAAATCACTTATCCAACAAAAATTCAACCTGAAGATTCTCACAGAGTCAAGAGGTTGCCAACATCTCTGAACCTTTCATACGGCGAGGAAGATGGAAGCAGTTTTTCGCCGAAAAAGAAGTGAACGGATTTGAGGTTTTGCACGCAGATATCTCACCAAAGTATTGAGGCTAGGTGTCGAGTGGTATTCCGAAGGTTTCCAAGCCTGGGATATCTCGCTCGGGATATGATAAGCCCCTTTCGGAGGGCCTCTGTAAAAGACCTTGCGATGCCATGGCTTGTAGCGCACGGCCTCCACTCGTAGAAGGGAGAAGACTGCATCTCATCGGCATCATCGGAGGCCATGGCCCTCCGCAACTCAAAGAGGTTTGGAGGCATGATGTGCCGCACGTATTCTAGAAAAGGCGCACCCCGAAGAAATCGAACTCCACAAAGCGGTTGAAGGTTGTTTTTTGGGAAATGGACACAAGTGGGTATATACCCAACCAATTCTCGGACAAAAGTGGGTACTCGAAAAATCCAGCGCGCGCGCACTCCATAGGCGCCCCCCCAAACGACTCAAAACCCCATTCTGACACCTGCACGACACAGCCAGGGACCATACACAGCACGGGCATCGGTTTTTTCCCACTTTCAGGCACACCTTTGGCCCTAATACCGCCGAGGCGCGCAGGGCCTCACCGGAGTGCCCACTTCTGTCCGACATCGCGGTGGGTATACCCACCGGCGTCAACAACTTTTTTCATGTACCCACTTTCGTCTCTGTTTTGACCCACTTTTGTCCAAATTGTACCCGCTTGTGTTCACTTACGGACGGCGGAAATCGAGCGGAAATCGACCTCCACGTCACCGCACGGCAGAACATCGAATAGCCTCGGAACGTCTCAGAACCTCCCAACACCGTATCTATGGCATGTTTCGTATCCATGGCTGCCGACTGCAGACCGAACGCGGAGGAACATGTCAGCCACACGCCAGGCCCCTTCGGTACCGGCACGGTAGGGTACCAGGCACGGGAAGGTGCTCGCGGCAAGCCCGTCAAGCAGCGCACACACAACGGTCAACACAACCAACGGGCGCGCATGCAACAAACGCGCATACAGCAACAATACACGTACACGAAACCACCAACCACCACCACGACGAGTGCACACCGACTCGTCAAGGCGGCAGCAGCATGCCGATGCAGTTTACCCTGCAGGGCGCCCGCTCAGGGTCAAGCGCGGGCGCACCTCTGTCAACTGCTGGCGGCGTCATGGTTGAAGTGGTAACTTTTGCGACGGTTTTTAAGGGATATCAAGCCGGATTTTCACGTCGCATACACAATATGAATGTTGAGCATATGAATACCCTATTACTATAATGTTACGTGGCAAACTGCATCGACATGCTGCTGCTGCCTTGACGAGTCGGTGTGCACTCGAAAAATTAGGGCAAGCCCGGCAAGCAGCGCACTAACGGCAAACGCCACAAATAAATACGTGACACACAACGGTCAACACAACCAACGGGCGTGCATACAGAACAAAAAGATGCGCTCAAAACAATAACGCGTAAAAACACCAAAATCTACTATGCACGTGAGGCGACATGTAGTGCATTTATTCGCTTATTTGTAGTGTGGTATGCCAATATGGGAATATGCGGCCTACAGTGTTGGCCCACATTCGATTCCTACCGCTGTCCCCCTAAACTAGTAGTGCTTGGAAGTTCGTGCGTGCAAAGTATGAAACTATGTGTATGCCAACTCTTTCATTCTCCGGAGTACGCAACGTGCGGCCAATTTTTTCCTTAAACCGCCATCCACACAGTAGCAGCGAACGAACGTAGCGTAGCGAACTCCGTTTCGGTCTCTTATTCGGTTAGGTTTTCTAGGGGATATCAAGCCGGATTTTCACGTCGTATTCACCATATGCATGTTGTGCATATGAATACCATCATGTGGTTACGTGGTAAACTGCCTCGACATGCTACTGCTGCCCTCACGAGTCGGTGTGCACTCGTCGTGGTGGTGGTTGGTGTTACGTGTGTGTGTTGTTGCTATAGTCTATACGCATCTTTTTGTTCTGCATGCACGCCTGTTATTTTTGCTGTCCGTTGTGTGTCACGCATTTATTTGTGGCGTTTGCCGTTAGTGCGCTGCTTACTGGGCTTGCCGTGAGCACCTTCCCGTGCCTGGTATCCTACTGTGCCGGTACCGAAGGGGCCTGGCGTGTGTCTGACATGTTCCTCCGCGGTCGGTCTGCAGTCGGCAGCCATGGATACGAAACATGCCATGGATACGGTGTTGGGAGGTTCTGAGACGGTCCGAGGCTATTCGATGTTTTGCCGTGCGGTGACGTGGAGGTCGATTTCCACTCGATTTCCGCCGTCCGTAAGTGAACACAAGTGGGTACAATTTGGACAAAAGTGGGTCAAAACAGAGACAAAAGTGGGTCCATGCAAAAAAAATTGTTGACGCCGGTGGGTATACCCACCGCGATGTCGGACAGAAGTGGGCACTCCGGTGAGGCCCTGCGCGCCTCGGCGGTATTAGGGCCAAAGGTGTGCCTGAAAGTGGGAAAAAATCGATGCCCGTGCTGTGTATGGTCCCTGGCTGTGTCGCGCAGGTGTCAGAATGGGGTTTTGAGTCGTTTGGAGGCCGCCTGTGGAGAGCGCGCGCGCTGGATTTTCGAGTACCCACTTTTGTCCGAGAAAGGGGTAGGTACCCACTATTGTCTATTTCCCAAAATTATATCTCTCGCCTTCTGCGAAGGTCTAATAAATGGATCTTGTACCTCCTACATCGTAAATATGAATCATTTCTCCACTTTTCCATCTTGTCGAAAAACACTGTAGATAGAATCACTTCTATCTTCTCCTATCTCACTTCCCCTCATTATTTATTACTCTCACATCTCCTAGATTTGTACAATAATATATTTCGGGAAAAGGGATCTCAGATCTCAGGGTGTTGGGCGGTGCGTTCCCGCCCCGCCCGCTCCGCCCCCACTCGCCACACATTATAATCCACCAGCAGACACAACAAGTTTGCGACCATGCAGTTCCTCGACTTGAACACTTCGATGTCTTGTTCGAACCACTTCGGAAAAAAATTATCTCTCGCCGTCTCTGAAGGCCTAAGCAATGGATCTCTTACCTCCCACCGTCGTAGATATGAATCCCTTCTTCACCTATCAACCTGTTTCTCCTCGCCTAAACTTGTGATATGAATCACTTGTCTCACTTCTCCTCATTAGACTGACTCTCACTCCTCCTAGTTTTTTCGTACAATATTATATCATACTTCGGGAACGGGAATCTCAGATCTGAGGTTGAGAAGAAGTATTGTAAGTCCATACTTCACGTCACTCAACACTACACGACAGAGAGAGGTACTGCCACACAGTGACCCCCGCAGAATTGGTGCCGCGGGTTACCTTGATGGAACCTCCACTGCTGTAGGATGAGGCATACATCCTGCCAATTTCGGTTCCGCGCTTAACAACGTATTGGTGAAATTGAGAGCGAAGCATGAAATTGAGAGCGAAGCATGGAGTTGAGAGCGAGAGCGCAAAAAATTAAAATTCGGGTCCAGACGCCTCTTGTCATTTCTTGAGAAGTAGGGGGCGGGCTCTTCGAAGAAGCAGCGAAAATTGAAGGTATAATCAGCAGCGTCACGAGGGTATGCGTGTCATCGTCATCGGATGCTGCAGCTAGGAGCTAGACAAGTTGCTAGATTTCCCCAGATTGGCTATTCCTGCCTCAACCTGTTGCAGGGTGGTTCGTCCTCGGGCGGTGGGCTCTGCTGTAGCTTCTGCTCGCCGTTGTAACTCCAGATCGAGAGACTCCCACAGGATGACCAGGGTATATGCTTGTAGCTACGGGCTGGCCCTTCAATTCAAGCTACACAGCAAGCTCCACCTCTCAGCCGTAGTCCAGCTGCAGCGCATCGCGCAATCTCGCTCTGAATCAGATACTTTGCTCTCAATTTCACCAATATGCTGTTGCTTGTGAACAAACACCCCCTTTGGGCACACTTCACAGGAGGAGTAAGGGTCAACTGCCACACACCTGCAGACCCGACTGCAAATGTATCGGGGCCTACTTGACTAGTCTCGATTCCGGGCGTTGTGAACCAGCACCCCTTTTTTGGCGGCGGAGATACACGCAAGTGATTTTGAAAGAGTGCCCATTTCGTGCCAACAGCATGCGGTTGCGTTATTTAGCACCCCTTCTGAAGCCGGAAATATACGCACGCCCTTTTGAAAGCGAACCCTTCTCGGGCCACAAGCATGCAGCGCGTCTCTCTACGTCATCATCGCGTTTCACGAATCTGTCCATTTGCATCTCAACACCAGCCTGAGCGACAGCAAGTATATCGAACTCGTCCGACCCACGGGTATTTTGCTACCGTTTTTCTTTACACCGCTTCAGGAGCGACACCGGAGTATCAGCACATCAGAACGATCTAGTTAGTGCACGACCAATCGCAGAGTATCAGTCCATCAGGGCGAACATCGAAGGGCAATCACTTCCACCGAAACCGCACCCAGTGGAAGGGAACCCATCAGCCCTTCGGGGAGGACTCCTATTAATAATTCAGCTTCTCCGACCTAAATTCATTTTTATCGAGACCCTCTTATTCCGATTCCCCCACGCTTGCCCGACCGTATCTCACAAGCCGATTAGACCTTTGGCGCACTTCTCGCGACATCCCGACCATGCCTCGGTAGGGCATCGCATTTCATGGCCCCTCGCCAACTTGCATAGATTTTCGCGCCCGGTAGCGTACACCACAAGTGGATGGCCATTTGCGACCATGCGCACTGTTTTTCTCTGGTGTTCATCGTTTCGCCGTGTGCCTGTTTCCATCGCTCTTGTGATGTTGAAGAGAACGGATTCGGAAAAAATCGAATCTAAGGGTCCGCTTGGCAGCAAGCAACAGACCGATCTCGACCTACAGCGCACGTCTTGCAATATCTTGAGAATACCTTGGTAGGTATTGCGCGTCATGGGTCCTCGCCGAGTTCCATCACCCTTCGCGCGCAGCAGCATGCACCACAAGTGTGCGGCCATGGCGACCATCCATGCGTTTCTTTGGTTCGCCGTCTTCCCGTCTACTTCCTGCACTCAATACTTGTCTTCTAATACTCAACAAGCCCATCCCTTCCACACGAGTCCAGGTAGAGAGTAGCAATCAAAAGTCAAATGTTGCATTTGCTCTTTCGCTTACTGAACATTTTTTTTTACACTGTCGGCCTGTAGCGCCGCACCCTTTTTCTTCGACAGACAAGAGTCCCCGGTAGATTACCAATGGGTTTGTAGCGTTTCTTGTACGGTGACCAACTGATTTTTAAACGGTGCCGTTGCCCGTGCAGCTATTGTTCCTTTTTTTGTTTCCATCCGCCGTCGGTTCGTGATCTACCAACACAACGCAATACACTCAGCCAATAGCTAAATATCCAAGAAACAAATCAGCTTCAGACAGGCAAACCCGACGATACTTGTCGCGTTCATTCATCACAATACAGACCTCCTCCTTTGTCTTCCCTTCTTAGGGGCCCGGCCTCCCCATTGACAAAAAGGGGAGACCGCCCTGGGGGACCAGCTGAGGCATATGGCTCTCCGGTCCATAGGGCAACCAAGGAATTCGGTTGAACACAACGATCCACACGGCTAATAAGGAAGACTGAGGCCAGCGCCTCGGTTTTGTCGTCCTTTTCGTTGTCCGAATTGCGTTGGTGAGACTCCAATTCATCCTCAAATTACCCAATCGTCGTTGTCCGTGAGGATATCCTCAAGCATGACACGTTTCTCACCACTATAGTTCAGCTATGTTGAATATTAATACAATTCGTTCGGCGTACAATGCGTGCTGGACGTTTTTGGCGTGTAACTCTTCATGCCGCTTGCGAGGTCTTTTTTCGAGACGCTGCGAGCATCTATGGCCGAGCGTGGTCATGTCTTAACTTTCTTTGTTAGCGCTAATTGCTTGTTCTTGATCGTACCCAGGTGCTTCGGTTCACGGTTCACAGGCATGTCGATGGTAGACCGGGCTTTGCTGAGGGCTTGGATTGTAGAACCCGCAAATGTAGATGTTACCCCCTTGTTGTCCCATCCTGATTTCGGCCTATTGTAGATGCTGAAATATCGGGCGCGCAGCCTGTCGTTGGAGTTGGGCCTTTCTTGCCGTTAAGATACAGAGTAGGTGTCGCACTTTTGGTCTTTAGCGGCTTTGTCTTGTGGATTATGGTCAATGGTAGTGACATGGTCGGAGAGAGGGAGATCGATAGAAGCTCGGGGCTCCGCTGTACAGATGTGTACAGTTGGGATGATACACGGGATCGTAGTCTTCTGTCTGTCGACAGGAGCTCTGCTGGGGGCCCAGATATGGTAGTTGGAGATGTTTATGATACCCCGTTGTTGTCCCATCCGGGGGGCCTCTGTTGTCGTATGAAGACAAAATACTCTCCTCCCTTGCCTTCCCCTCTACCCCCCCTCTGTGGAGGCTTCGGGGCTTAGTCTCCCCCCTCAAAGCCTAGGGAGGCTACCCTAGGGGATCAACGGAGGGCATATGGCTCTCTTGTTCATATCTCACTCTTTATGTCTTGGGTCACAGATGATACAGGACTTTCGTGTGTGATCATTCAAGCCTATCTATCTTCATCCTATCTGAAACCCCCTGGTAGAATCGAGTCCTGATGGAAATGGATCAATTGGCAATCCTGGCAAGCCACAAGGTCTCCCTTCGGGACGTGGGTGTCAAGCCTCCTTCCGTACGTGACGCAAGTCCACATGAATACACATTGCCCGAAGAGAGGCTGTGGGTCATATATTTGATGGGCAGTTGCATGACGCTCGAATTCCTCGACAAAACATCGCGCACGTAATCTACTTTGGAGCCAGCTCGAGCGGATAACACCTTTGTGGCGAATCATGAAAAGTGACGCATATTATATATTCATACAATATAGTCTGCCCCTCGATGGGTTGACAGTTGTCACCCGTCGTGAGCACGCTATGCGTATCCCTGTAATTATTGCGCCCTTGTGGACTACTATTTGCTGTGCACCTCCACCTTTTGTGAGCCGAGAATACGGGTTAACATGTGTCATGGAGAAAGTGCAAGTTCGACACGAAGGCGGGATTTGCTCTTGCACGTGTCTTCCACGAGACGGACCGAACCGAGCGGAAGATGAACACTGACTGACTGCCCCGTGCTTGAACAACAGCAGTCCGGGGGGCCCTCTACACATGTGAGAGTGTTCTGTCCGATAACATTCACGACCTTTAAGGTATTCTTCTTCATTAATTTCATATGTCTCTACAACTAGCTCTTGTAGGCGATCTCATTTAACCGGTTGTTTGCCCCCTTTTTTCTTTTCGATGACTTTCAGGCGCGCCGTGGCTTTTTTCTCTAGGAAAATACAAAAAAAGACAGAGAGTGCGCTTTTACCCAACTGTATCCCTTGGTGTGTGTGCTCGTGTGTGTGGAATATCACGGTCGATAGAAACCTA